ACCAAGGCAGGACGTCAGGCGCAGAGGCCAGCGGAAGAAAGCGCCCTCCGCAACCACCACCTCTCACAACCGAGTGGTTAAAACCACCACAAAATCTACTAAAAGCAGGACATGGAAGGTAACAGCTAGATGATGCGTGGCTCTGCCTTCGATCTGGGACAAGGGCCAGGCCAGAGACAGAGGGCCACCCAACCGCATTTCCAGAGGCTGCACACAGGCTGGCATCAGGTCAACTCCCAAGGCGAGGGCGACAGGGAGGCAGGGTGATGGACAGGGCAACTCCAGCCAACCTGGGACTGCATGACAAGTGGGAAAGCACTGGGGGACCCCAAAATACCCCGCCTGCCCAGAGAACACACCGGGTACCCTAGATGACAAGGCAGTCCTGCTTCTAGAAAAATCTAGAACACCCGACCCGATCACTTTCCCTTCCTCCCTCTCTTACGTTGCCTCTCGACCTTCTCAGTTTGGCTCTCCTCGTGCCAGGATGCAACCCTGTGTCCAACCCAGCTCTCCCAGGGCTCCTCACCATTCTGTTTTCCCTATACTTACTTATGTTCCCGTTGGTCTCCCTGAGCCAGGAGGTAGGCCCCACGAGGGCAGTGGCTTGTGTCTGGTTTGTTCCCAATACGTCCTCTGGTATCCAGAGGACATCTGATAGACATTTATTGAATGAATAAATGAATGAATGAATGGTATGGACATTCACATACTGCTTTCATCATCCTCTCCCACCCCTGTCTGCTCAACAATGCTCCACTCTGGGTCTGGCCACCAGGGGCGGAAGCCAGTGTCTAAGGCCACTCTGCTCCCAAGACTGGACAGAAACAGGATCACTTAGAGGAGGTGGGGCAGCGGGATGGGGCCTTCAGGCCTCGGAGGCACAACTGCGGAGTGGATTCAGTGGGGACAGTGACCCCCAGTGGCCACTGAGAATTTGCGCACGAAAGCAAGTGTCTGTTACTTCCATAGGCAAGGCAAGGGAAGTGGGATCTGGCTCAACTTCCAGCCGAGTTGACTCCGTTCCTCGTTTCTGCGTGGATGACCCCCCTGCATTTTCTCTTACCTCTCTCCCCTACCAAAGCAATCCAAGGCCAAAGTTTTCTAGCTGCAAAGAGAGTTGTTCTGGTGAAGAAACAGGCACAGATCCATGAAGGAATTTGTCCCAGGTCTGCCTCCTACACACACACACTCCCTAGGCTGAATTGTGGCCAAATAACCAGGGAAGCCGCAGGGGGCCTGGGAGATCCCCAGCTGGGGAAGAAAGGGCTGAAGCAGTTCATCCTCCTCCTCCTTCCTCTCCCCACTGGATGTTTCCAGAGCCAAGGACTCGGGACCTATGTTGTTTAAGTGAACACTGACGACTATTTAGGTAAGGAGGGCCAAGGGCATCGTTACACAGATGTGAGTGCTTTCAGTAAAGAAAAAAAAAAAAAAAGGCTCTTTTCCCTCCCTGGCTGTCTGAGCATAGGCCACCATCATGAACAACACATAACCATCCACACTAGAAAGTTCATGACCGACCAACAACTCCAGAGGCAACAGATGGTCATTGATGTCCTTCCCCCAGGAAGGCAACAGGGCCTAAGACAGAAATTCGGGAAAAGCTAGCCAGAACGTACAAGCTCACACCGGACGTCATCTTCATATTTGGATTCAGAACTCATTTTGTTGGTCTTGCAAGACAACTGGCCTTGGCATGATCGATGATTCCCTGGATTTTGCAAAGACAAAGGAATGCAAACGTAGCCCTGCAAGACATGCCTGTGTGAAAAGCAAAAGACCTCAGAGAGCAAGGAAAGGAACGCAAGGACAGAGTGAAGAGAGCCGGGGACTCAAAGGCCAGTATTGGCGCTGGCAAAAGTGGGCTGGAGGCTGGATCACAGCCGAAGGAGTAAAGGTGCTGCCATGGTGTTACCTGTGGCTGCTGTGGGTTTTTCAGGAGAAGCTTAATAAACTAAAAACTTTCAAAAAAACAGAGTAAACAAGGACCCCAGGAGACGCTCTCCCCTGCCCCAAGGTACATCCTCCTGCCTCTCCCTGCTAGAGGGCCCTGGCCCTCCGGACACCCGCCGAGGATGGCTGGGCCGGGTTATCCACGATAACCAGAGGAGGCACGGCGTACCCCTGCCCACCACACATGCCTCTGCATGAAAGGGAGACTTGACGCTCTCCAGCTTTCTTCCTTCCAACACCCGACCTATCGTCACAATCCCAGATTCCAGGGAACGCAGGTCAAGTTCTCCCAAGCAGTCTCCCCAAGCCTGAGCCTGATTTTCTTCTAGGCACCCACAGCAGCAGGAACTAATATCCACAGGAGCATTGCTGGAGACCTCCGGGGACACTGCTGAAAACACAAGGCCCCTCCAAGTGCAGATCCAGAGCAGGGAAAGCTTAAACACAGCAGCCACCGTGAGGCGGAACCCTGTCCGACCTGCAGGCTGGGCTCCCTTTGCAAAGCCTTTTCCAATATACTGCCCACATGGTCGCAGGCAGTTTTAGACTGACACTGAGGTGACTTTACTTGGTCTTTTATTGCCAATTTTGACCTATATTTAAGGATGATGGCTAACAGGCGGGCCATCATTTCAATAAATGCGCACTTCAGGCTGACTCCCATGGTCATTGCACAAGGAACAGATTTCTTAAACCTAATATTTTTTTGTTTTTGAGATGCAGTCTCACTCTGTCGCCCAGGCTGGAGTGCAGTGGCGACATCTTAGCTCACTGCAACTTCCGTCTCCCTGGTTCAAGCAATTCTCGTGCCTGAGCCTCCTGAGTAGCTGCAATTACAAGTGCGAACACCGACGGCCTAGCTAATTTTTGTATTTTTAGTAGACACAGGGGTCCAAGATGTTGGCCAGGCTGTTCTCAAACTCCTGACCTCAAGTGATCTGCCTTCCTCAGCCTCCCAAAGCGCAAGAACTACAGTGTGAGCCGCTGCACCTAGGAAGCAGGCTGCTCACTGAAGACAGGGGACCCACGGTCATTCATCTGTCTGCGCAGGATCAACACTGCAAACCACACCTCACGCCAGCCACGTGACTCTGAAAGCTGTCTCTTCTCAGAAGAGCTGACGGTACCTCCTGTATTCGGTCCTTCAGTCCAGAGGCCCCAGTAAAGGAGCATGTCAATCAGTGATGGGGCAGAGATCATCAAGAAAATGCTTTCACTGGAAATGTATTTAACCAGAACAGACTGCATACAGGAAGTGTTTTCTCTTAGAGTTCTCAATCTTGACTGTGTGTCAGAATTACTCCAGGAGCTTTAAGGAAGCCTAATGTCCACACCACGCCCCAGGCCTATTAGGCCAGACTATCCGGAGCAGGAACCAGGCTCTGGCGTGTTTGTCAGCTCTTGGGTGATTTCAATATACAGCTACGGTTGAAAGCCACCCATCGGGCCAGGTGTGATGGCTCACGCCTGTAATCCCAGCACTTTGGGAAGCCGAGGTGGGTGGATCGCCTGAGCTCAGGAGTTTGAGACCAGCCTGGGCAACACAGTGAAGCCCTGTCTCTACTAAAATACAAAAAGTTAGCTGGGCGTGGCAGCGTGTGCCTGTAGTCCCAGCTACTTGGGAGGCTGAGGCAGGAGAATTGCTTGAACCGGGAGGCAGAGGTTGCAGTGAGGCAAGATCGAGTCACTGCACTACAGCCTGGGCGACAGGGTGAGAGCAAGACTGCATCTCAAAAAAAAAAAAAAAAAAAGAAAGCCACCCATCAAAACAGACGCCATTTGACCAGGCATGGCGTCTCACACCTGTAATCCCAACACTTTGGGAGGCTGAGGAAGGAGGATTACTGGAGCCCTAGGAGTCCGAAAACAGCCTGGACAACACGGCAAGAGCCCCATCCCCACAAAAAAGGTTTGAAAAATTAGCCAGGTACAGTTGTGTACACCTGTGGTCTCAGGAGGCTTAGGCTTGAGGACCTCTTACGGCCAGGAGGTCAAGGCTGCAGTGAACCATCTTCAGGCCACTGCATGCCAGCCTGGGTGACAGAGCAAGATGGTGTCTCCAAAAACAAACATATCATTTAACATTTTAATACCTTTTCATCTTGAATGTGAGCCACACCTGCATTATTACAAGTATACATGTGTTCACCTTTCCCTTCTCCACACTGTAAATTATGTCTAGGTTACCACCTTCCATCTAAAAGGTAGGCAGACTCTCTGGTTTACCAGGCTGTGAATTAAGCAATAAAGTGATGCTTCTTTCCAATTATTTTCTTTGTTGCTGCTGACCTGAGTTAAAAAGGTGCCTCCGGCCAGGTACAGTGGCTCACACCTATAATCTCAGCACTGTGGGAAGCCTAGGCAAGTGGATCACGAGGTCAGGAGATTGAGATCATCCTGGCCAACGTGGTGAAACCCCATCTCTACTAAAATACAAATGACTAGCCAGGCCTGGTGGCACATGCCTGTAATCCCAGCTACTTGGGAGGCTGAGGCAGGAGAATCGCTTGAACCCAGGAGGTGGAGGTTGCAGTGAGCTGAGATTGTGCCACTGCACTCCGGCCTGGGGTGACAGAGTGAGACTCTATTTTAAAAAAAAAGGAAAAAATATGTATATATAGATCATGTGTGTGTGTTTGTGTGTATAAATTAGCATGGCATGGTGGCACCTGCCTGCAGTCCCAGCTACTCAGAAGGCTGAGTTGGAAGGATCGCTTGAGCCCAGGAGGTTGAGGCTACACTGCAGTGAGCCAGATAGCACCACTGCACTCCACCATGGGCAACAGAGCAAGACCCTGTCTCAAAAAACAACAAAGATACTTTTTTTGCTTTGAAAACCCAATGTAAAAAACCTATTGAGATACCAAATTGTATATGAAATAAATCTCAACTCTCTCTTTAGAATAGATTCATAAAAATGCTAAGGAAATGTACTACAACATTAACAAGGGTTACTTCCGGTGGGAAGATGATGCGTGATTCCTATCTTTTTCACTTCATTTAGTTACGAACTTTAACAGAATGAGCACAAAAACAAACACAACCACCTTCCAAAGTTTAATCAATCACCTTCTTAGAAGTGAAATCTAACAATCACTTCAAATACTCTAAAATGCAACAGAGTGAAATCTCATTACTTTCTCATCTCCCTAATTCTAATTGAAACAGAGTCCCTCCATGAAGCGTGTGCACTTTCACAACGACGCCAGGGAGGACTCACTCATTTTCACACTGGATAACGTTGAACTGCTCCAGGTTCAGAAACTCATCCAACAGAGGATTTACTATATTAAAACATTCACGTCCCCAAGTTAAAAATGGATATTGAATACGCTATATTTCTGGAGAAAATTCAGTACACACGCCACTTCTGTTAGTGCCTGTCCCACTCCACGGAAGCCCTGGTCTCAGGCATCTCCAGCTTTGCCACCTCTCTGCACAGATGGCGTCCTGGCAGGCTTCCAGCAGAAGCCAAGGTCCCATCAAGGGTCCGGACTTTCCGTGTCTCCTTTGTTTTCATCGAGTCTGGGCCGCTTTAGCTCTAGGGGACGGCCCTGAGCATCTCCAGGCGTCTCTGCAACATTAACAAACATAAGGTTGGGAAATAAATGAAGAATTCTGGAAGCCCAGGGCTGACAATACAGAGCCAAGACATGGAAGATCCTATACTGATACAAAGGAAGGATCTGTACAGTGGTTCTCAAACAGGGGCGATTTTGCCTCTCAAGGGAGAGTGGGCAATGTCTGGTGACATTTTAGAATGTCATGGGCAAGAAATAGCACCCAGGGCTGCTGCTGAACATCCTATAATGCACAGCACAGTCCCCCACAACAAAGAATTACCTGGCCCAAAAGGTCAACAGTCATCAGGTAGAGAAACCTGATCTAAACGGTCTCCTACGGAACCCACTACCTGGCTCACCAGGAGCTCTCACTGGCCAGGTGGTTTCCCTGCTGAGGCCTCAACAGGCAGCCAGTGGGTTTTTTTTGTTGTTGTTGTTTTTTTTTTTTGAGATGGAGTTTCGCTCTTGTTACCCAGGCTGGAGTGCAATGGCGCGATCTCGGCTCACCGCAACCTCCGCCTCCCGGGTTCAGGCAATTCTCCTG